AAGTCGCCATCGAGTCTCCTCTGTTGGCGTGTGCCTACTGCTGCTGTCGCCCGTACTTCTGTTGACCTGGGTCCGTGCGTATCCATCTGCAAACACCTTAACAATGCTCGTATCTGACAGCAAGCTGCCTACGAGTATGTCTGCATTTTCACAGTAACATGTATCCCATCAACTACGGGTTCGCGGGGTAGCCTGCCTCATCTCATCGAGAGATGTCCGCGCTTACCGGGTCCAACGAACAATTACATAATATAAATTACATACATTGATCCTATGGCTCACGCAGGGGTCGTACATGAATGATCTAGTAAAGCATTTAAACTATGCGGTGTCCCACTGCACGAATAAATTATTACAAGCATTCACCAACCCAAAACTCCTCGACATGTCCGAGGCTCATAAAACAACATACATGAATTAAAAAAGAAACATACATGCGGGCCATAATAGATGGATTCAAGAATACCTGCAAACACACTTATTTGCAATTCTAATATATTATGCGCTGCGTCTGTACACAATTAATTCACATATATCACGCAAGTCCTAATTCGAATAGTGCACAAAGTCGAGTTAACCTGGGCTCTGATACCAGTTGTTTTATAAGCCTCGAACATGTCGAGGATTTTTGGGTTGGTGAATGCTTCTAATAATTTATTCGGCGCGGTGGGACACCGCATAGTTTAAATGCTTTACTAGATCATTCATGCACGACCCATGCGTGGGCCATAGAATCAATGTATGTAATTAATATTATGTAATTGTTCGTTGGACCCGATAAGTGCGGACATCTCTCGACCAGACGAGGTAGGCTACCCCGCGAACCCGTAGTTGATGGGATACGTGGTACTGTGCAAATTCAGACATACTCGTAGGCAGCTTGCTGTCAGATACGAGCATTGTCGACGTTCCTAATAGAACCCAACAACTGGTATCAGAGCATTTACAACATACCTCTAACAATGAATAATTCCCTAACGATGGGAATATTCATTGTTAGAGGTATGCTGTAAAAGCTCTGATACCAGTTGTTGGGTTCTATTAGGAACGTCGACAATGTGCACATCCAAATCAATTGAATAATAAATCCTAACGCAGCGTAGGGACCTAAAGGAGGTGCTAAATATGGGCTTATTCCTTAAAGTTTATGAATCCTTATTATCTTCCATCTCCTTTTCCCATCTAGGATAATATTCCTAATAATTAATTACCTTCTAGAAAACTCCATAGTCTTCTAACCCTAGGTAATATTATAGAAGGGATATTCCCATTCTTAGGGAATTATGGATTATAATTAATTCTTAATTCCTAATCTTGGAATTAAATAATAAAACATTCCACTATAATAATATTATTGCTCTCCCCATTTAGCTCCGAATTACAATTAATTCGTTTCCATTGATTAAATATATTAATCCAATTGATCGATTTATCTACCCATGTTTACGATATAACGTCCGTTGATTAATTAAATTACAGACAAAATAATTAATCAACTTCTTATTCATTTCTGAAACTACTACCACTCAGATCCTTAATCATTATGCCGGATAACACATCCGCCTGCAGGGCTTCACATAATATTCATTCCTGATCTCATTTTGGGGACGTCATCAACCCAGCGCACTGGGACACAGTGACCGTAAATAATTTATAACGGTACATCATATAAACACACTTATTTACCAAAATACCGAGTATGTCATCCTAGCAAAATAGGAATCACCCTTCATACATAAAATAAATAAGTAATGAATACATATGCCCATTTTATATTATCTTACAGCTTAAGAGTACACATTAATTACTGAAGGTCTAGATTACAACAACGGTCAGTGAGTCTCATAATCTTATCCTTCTGTTGTCCTGTTCAACACCTATCATAAGTGCTAGTGTAATTCTCCAGTCAAAGACCAACTGAATCAAGAATACACTACAGTCTTTTTCCAAGAGGGGTCTCACTGCCTGTCTAGACTGTGAACGAATAGTTTAGTCTTACGAGGAACCGATAGGTGATGTTTATGTTCGAAACACTTCGAACCACACTATCTCAATGTAAGATAAGGAGTATGATTGCATAAATAAATAAACTGCAAGCATATATACTTTGACTGAAACATGATGGCCAGATCCAAATGGAATTGATAGAATCTGCAAATCGGAGCTAAATGGGGAGAGCAATAATATTACTCTAGTGGAATGTTTTATTATTTAATTCCAAGATTAGGAATTAGAAATTAGTTATATTCCATAATTCCCTAAGGATGGGAATATTCCTTCCAGAATATTACCTAGGGTTAGAAGACTATGGAGTCTTCTAGAAGGTAATTAATTATTAGGAATATTATCCTAGATGGGAAAAGGAGATGGAATATAATAAGGATTCCTAAACCTTAAGGAATAAGCCAATATTTATCACCTCCTTTAGGTCCCTATTGTATGACCTTTACACGGTCTCTAATAAATCTTGGTGGAGCGATTTATTATATTTCCCAAAACCTCTTGATCATCTTCTTCTAAGACCTTACGGTGCTAACCGAATTTTCACTGGAAGAAGAATCTCTCTCTTTCTTTCTCGCTTGAAGAGGCCGAATTTCTCCAGCCCTTCGGGGAGAAAAATGTGTAAAGCATGTTCAAGAGGTTAGGGGACCTGATGGAGTTGAGAGGGTCGAGTTGGTCTAAGGTGCCAGATTAAGGTTCTGGTCCGAAAGGGCGTGGGTTCGTATCCCACTCTCAACACCATAGGGACCAAAAGTGATGGAGTAGTATACCCGGCGTTCCAATCAGATTGGACGTATTCTACTTGTAAATACAATCTATTGGAATTATATTAAATAATAAGGCATTACTTTATTTTAAGAGTAAGCATTTATATTTGCACTTAAGATAAAATCCCTAGATCACTTATAGCTTCAAGATATGGTTGCACATAGAGATGGTGATCATGGAACATATCTTGAAAGCTGTGATCTTAAATACAGTTCCAAGTCGTTGGATGTTTCGAGATGGGATATCGAATAAATTCGGAAAAGACTTGCACATAGTATGTATGCTTATTGGATAAGAATGTTGCATTCCATCAACATTAGCGTGGGACACAAATACATATATGTGGGTGCTTGTTGGAGAACAAGTTCACTGAACATGACCGTATGAAAATTCTTAATGAAAGTTTATCATGTGGAATAAGAATTTTCATGTTACAATAGTACATGATTAATCCTTAGACTTGAGGCACGATGGTAACTTTGTGCATATTATATTTTACTTTGATTTATCCTTTTGATTGCTAACACAATCGTATAAAGGGATATTTTGGGTATTATATTAATATGTATAGAAGTTTGTCAGTGGTCAACAAAGGATTCGACACTTATGAAGATAAGTGAATTTCCTATGTGTTTCATAGTTAGTAATTCAAAGTCCTTGGCCAAGGCGAGATGAATAGAGATTCATAAATGAATTACTAAACTTGAAATGGAATCATAGTTATTAAATCAATTTGAGTTTCAACAAAATCATACCCAAAGATTTAATCGGGAAATTGGATGTCGAAAGGATTTTACATGTATGAACTTGTAATCGAAATAGGTTTACTCGCTATTCACTTAATACTAGATTCATGTTACTTGCTAGATGTTCCCATAATATGTGGGTTCTTGAATTAAAGAGTTAATTCAAGAATAAGAGTTAATATGAATAACTCACATTACAAAGAGTTGTAAACCCACTACTAGTATTAATTGTGAACTTAAAAGGTCACACCAATTTTTGAATGAAGGTAAAATTCAAATAGTATTTCTAAATAGTTAGAATTAATTGACAAATCTAATTTGGTTAGATATCAATTAAAGGAATATATTAAATTAATCAATTAGATTGATTAATTGAGTTTTGGATATTAATTTAGTAATTAACAGAATTACTAATTAATAGTTGGAATTTAAAATTGGATTTTAAATTTCAAATCCAAATAATAATAAGATTATTAAATAAGGAAATGGAAGAATAGATTAAAATAATAAAGTCTTGAAAAATGTTTTCAAGAATTATTATTTTATTATTTATCTTTAATATGATTGAAGATTAAATAATAATAAGAATAAATTAATTATGGTAGTTAGGAGTTGTTAACTAATCCACATAATTAATCTTATTTTTATTAATACAATAATAATGATTGATGGAGGTTATAAACCAATCATATTATTAATTAAAAGTCAATATTTGGTATGATCATTGAAATAAAATCTGATTTTATTTAAAATAAAATATATTAAATATTGATTATTTTATGCTAAAATGTTTAGTATAAATAGGTGCAAAATGTTTGCACATAAATGGCTAAGTTTTTTAGCTAAATTCTTCCAAGAGAAAAATTCATTCAAAGAGTTGAGTGATAATACAAGAAAGTGTTCTTGAAAAATTTCCTTATAAATATATATATATATTCCATACTTATTGAATAAAACCGAGTAGTTTCTACTAGCGAAGGAACTATTGTCGGAACCGGACTTCAAAAGGTGGATACGATTAGAGGGAAGACATTTGGATTCCTAAAGTGAGTAACCACAAGAAGTGATTGTTACCAAATCGGGAATTGATTTCCTCATACATCGTCGGTTTTGAAGGAGTTCAAGAACAAAGGTAATTTTTATAAATTGCATATCAAATCAAAATTAGTAAAAGTTACTAGATTTTAAATGATGCTTATTCGTTATATCGTTATACTTATGTACGGAATAAGCATTTATAAGATAAATACTTATAAAATATTAAATTCTGCTGTAAACTCTGTTCCGTACGGTATATCGAACCCAACAAAAAGGAGATGGAAGATAATAAGGATTCCAACTTTTCAATTCTCCCTAATGGGAACCCTAAATTCTCCCGTTGGGAATCTTCATTCCTCCTGGTGGAGACTTTAATTGCACCATTCTCTCTTCAGTAATCTTTTGTTTCTTGTTTTTTCATCCTTCTCTCACCTGGTTTTAGCGAGTATGGACCCAAAAATCTCTGGTGGCATTGAGGAAGAATTAGGGCTACGTCTCAAGAACATAGAACTATCCCGCTCAGAAGGGAAGGTAGTCGAGCTCGGGGATACCGATGTGCAGACTGGCAAGGAAGAATGTGACCGTAGCCTGCTGGGGAAGATAGTTGGCGACCGAAAAGCTAGCCTCCTTGGTCTCAAGCGCACTCTGACTCGCATTTGGCAAATCTCAGAGCCAATGGAGGTTACGGAACTTACTACAAACTTTTTCCAATTCATTTTTGGAAATAAAGGAAGACAAATTGAAAGTGAGGTCAGGTACAAACTGAATTTATGACAACCAGTATTTGATCCTTCATGAGATGGAAGATGGCCTCACTACGGATGACCCCGTGTTCAAGTCTCTAAATTTATGGGTTCAAGCCTGCAAAATTCCTATGAGCTGGCTTACTACAGAAGTTGGGATGAAAATAGGTGGTATTTTTCAAGAAGTTAAAAATGTGGTGGTGGTTAAAGGAAGCGGGCCTAGAGGCAACTACCTCAGGCTATTGGTCTCTATCAATCTCGAAGAACAATTACCTAGAGGTACTAGTGTGAAACTCCATGATCAAGTCATTGGGGTAACTTTTCTCTACGAAAAACTTGTTAATCTTTGCTACTATTGTGGGAAAATTGGGCACTTGGACAGATCTTGTTCTAAAAGGATGGCTGACATGAAAAAATCCTCCTTGAATGAGGGACAATTCGGTGAGTGGATGAAGGCAATGGACTACCAATATCCCTACAGACCAAACAGTTTTCACTCTCAGTCAAACAACTCTTCAGAAGGAATTCAAAGAACTACTACTCCAGATCCCAACAGCTCTGGCTCTAGAAAGGAAAGTGCTCATCTGGTGGGGAATGACACTGCAGAAAGGGGATCAAATGTTAATAATATGAATCTGGCTATTATGGAGATCCCCCAACACAGTGAAACTCAAAAAGAAGGGGTCCCAGATACACAGGACGCATCATCAAAACTCTATGTGGAACAGAACCAATCATCTCTGCTCTCCCAAAAGGAAGCCATGATGAAAGATATCTCTTATTACAATATGTCACAAGGTCCTCACTTGGAAGCTGCTCACAAATCAATCCACAAGATGCTAACTCTGGAGGAGATTGGCGACCCAACACCCCCAGGAAAAAATGCCCATCCTAAAACCTGGAAAAGATAAACCAAGCAAGCTGGGAGATTACAGAGAAAGAATGCTAAACCTTCTTTTCATGAGGTCATGACTAATACCAAAAGAGTAAGAGAGGAACAATCCAAGGAAACTCCAGAAGAAGGGGATACTGACTCTATGCCAACGGGTTCAAAGAAACTTACAAGCTCTCAGAAACAGGTGGTGGTGGCCAACCTTGAAAGGCCACAAGTTTCCCAATGAAGACAATCTTGTGGAACTATAGAGGTCTGGGTGGGCCCTCTACAGTTTCCCAGGTCAAGGAAGCCATTAGGCTCCACCACCCAACCCTGGTTTTCCTATCTGAAACAAGGAAGACCTCTGATTTCTCTAAAACTGTTAGCAAAAAATTGGGTTTTGAAAATAGATGGAGGGCCTGTGATCCTATAGGCCAAAGTGGGGGTTTACTTCTCCTCTGGTCCAGTGAGGCAGAGATAGCCCAAATTAACTCCAACCACTTTTGTATGGAAGTTGAAATTAAAAGGCAAAATGAAGAAGGCAGCAACTGGTTCATTTTCATTTATGCAAGCTCTGATAAAAAGAAGAGGGAAGATCAATGGCTTTACTTGGAAGAAGCAAAAAAGTCTTGGGGTGATAATTGGATAGTAGGAGGTGACTGGAACGAGATATGCTCTGGGGAGGAAAAAAGAGGAGGCCTTACTAGGAATGATGCTAGCTGCATGGCTTTTAATTCATTTATTGCCAGAATGGGAATGCTGGAGATTTCAATGTCTGGCAACCCCTTCACCTGGGGGAACAACAGGGAGCAAGAAGGATATATTGAAGAGAAACTTGACAGGTTTTTTGGTTCTCTTGACTGGCTAGCAAATAACCCATCTGCAAATATGGAAAGCTGGTTCAGAAGCTCATCTGACCACCTAATGCTCATCCTAAATTCTGACCCTTCTGGAAAATTTAAAAAGAAAAGGAGATTTAGATTTGATGGCAGATGGTTAAGGATGGATGGGATCACTGATGTTATTAAAGGGGCTTGGAACCAACATCTTGAAGGAACACCAATGTTCAGAGTTCATGAAAAGATAAAGCTCACAAGGATGGCTCTACTAAATTGGAAAAGAGGAAATCACACAAACTATGAGCTGAAAATTCAACGTTTATCTGCCCAGCTGGAGGCTCTGAACTCTCTTGGTGGCAACAGGGATTGGCTGGAATGGGATAGAATAAAAAAATATCTGAATTCAGCTTATGATCAAGAAGAAAAATTCTGGAAGCAAAAATCCAGGAATCTTTGGCTGCGAGAAGGTGACCGAAACACAAAGTTCTTTCATGCCTTGACCATACAAAAGAGGAAATCAAACGCCATATCCAGACTCATTGATATGCATGGGAATTTAAGGAGTACTCCTGAAGGTATAACAGAAAGTGTGACTGAATTCTACCAGGCTCTCTTCACATCTGAAGGCTCTAGAGGTGAGGCTCAACTTATGCATCTATTCCCTAAGATCATCCTTGAAGGGGATAATGATTCTCTCACCGCCAAAGTTGAGGAAACAGAAATCAGAGAAGCCCTTTTCAGCTTACACCCCGAAAAGGCTCCAGGTTCAGACGGTATGTCTCCAAATTTCTTTCAAAGCTTTTGGGAAATCATTAAACAGGACTTATGTGAAGCAATCCAAAGCTTCTTTCAATATGGGAGAATGCTAAAAAACTGGAACCATACTCTGCTTTCTTTGATCCCAAAATGCAAAAACCCCACCTCTCTGGGGAATTACAGGCCCATCAGCCTCTGTGGTGTTGCTTACAAAACGGTCTCCAAGATTTTGGCAAATCGGTTGAAGCCTTTTCTGAGCAGATTCATTAATACAAGCCAAACAACATTTATTAAGGATAAGCTTCTCACTGATAATGTTATAGTGGCTCAGGAGGCAATCCACTTTCTTAATAGACACAGATCGGGGAAAAATGTTATATGGCCTTGAAACTTGATATGATGAAGGCTTTTGATCGTATAGAGTGGAACAGTATCATTAAAATCATGTTGAGCCTTGGTTTTCACTCTTCCTTTGTGCAGTGGATTTTTGCCTGTATATCAACATCATCCTTTTCTTTCAACATAAATGGTGATATGTGTGGTTATCTGAAGCCTTCAAGGGGTATTAGACAGGGGGATCCTCTATCCCCCTATCTGTTCATTATTGTTTCTGAGATGTTCTCTAGACTCATTAGCTTTGAGGTAAGGGCTGGTAATTTCCAGGGGCTGAGATTGGTTAAAAATGGTACAAGACTTACTCACCTTCTGTTTGCGGATGACTCCCTCATTTTTTGTGAAGCTAACACCTCTCAAGCTGCCTGTCTTCTTCAAATTCTTCAAAAATATCAGCTTTTCACTGGGCAACTAGTAAATTTGGAAAAATCATCTGCTTTCTTCAGCAAGAACACACCTGCCACCACTCAACACTCCATCTGCCAAGTCTTAAATGGTATCACTGTTCATAGATCCTCCAGATACCTGGGAATGCCCCTTGGGATTGGGAAATCCAAAAGAGAATCTTTCAACTTTGTGATCGAAGCAGTCAGAACTAAGCTCATAAATTGGAAAAACAAGTACCTCTCTCCAGCTGGAAAAGAGGTTCTTATAAAATCTGTTTTGAATGCTTTGCCAGTCTTCATCATGTCATGCTTCTGTCTCCCTAAAGGTCTTTGCAAGGAAATCTCCCAACTTTGTGCAAGGTTCTGGTGGAGTTCTGGTGATGAGAATAAACAAGGGATACACTGGAAGGACTGGAGATATATGACAACTCCCAAACAATGGGGAGGTTTAGGTTTCCAGGATGTGCAATTATTCAATGAAGCCATGATCTTTAAGCAAATCTGGAGAGTTGCTACAAATCCAAACCTGTTGATGAGCAAAATTCTCAAGGAAAAGTACTTCCCTTCAACCTCTATCTTTGAAGCTTGCAAATCCACCAGTTCATCTTGGATGTGGAATAACTGGATCAAAGTCAAGATTAAATATCAAAATCAATTCAGAAGGGAAGTTGCTGATGGAATGACCACTAGAATTTGGCAAGACCCTTGGGTGCCTGACCTCCTATCTGGCATTCCTAAAGGGAAGCTTCCTCACAGATTCCATTTTTTTAAGGTTGCTGAACTTCTCAATGAGAGTAAGAGATCATGGAATGCTGCTCTAATCAAAGATATATTCACTGAGGAAGAGGCTGCTGCTATTCTCAACATAAAGACACTCACACCTGAGAAATTTGACAAATGGTGCTGGAAAGGTAACAAAATGGGAAAATTCTCAGTGGCAAACACCTATGCCCATCTGATGCTGCAAAAAACTCTTGTGATGGACAGAGCTGAAGGGAGCAAATCAGCCAAGATGGATAAAGCAGCTAGAGATAGATGCTGGAAACTTGGGATCAAAGGCAAGATTAAGCATCTAATCTGGAAGTCTTTCTCTAATTCACTGCCAACAGGTGCCAACCTCAAGAAGAAAGGACTTGATGTGGATTACATGTGCCATTGCTGTGGAGAAGCCCCTGAAACAGTGGAACACCTTTTTTTTCACTGTCCAAGATCTCAACTCATCTGGAAGCTAGCCCCACTTGACTGGGGAAACTCTATGAATGAAGCTCACATTTTTAAAAACTGGTGGTGGTGGATAACTTCTGTGGACAGGAAAGAGACTTCAGAGCATAGAATCCAATTGTCCACTTACATCTTATGGTGGATTTGGAAAACAAGAAATCTATGGCTCTTTCAAAGGATATGGAGATCCGAGGCAGAAGTAATCAAGCTGGCTTTGGATGATTGGTCTGAGTACAATAGCAGATTCTCTCCTCTTAGTTGATTATTCATGTTTTTGTCATTTTGCAGGCATATATGGAGCTTAGGTCCTTTGGTCAGTTTGCTACATGTATGTTCTGTTTTCTTTTTTTAGTTTTTCATGTTGTGGTTTTTCTTGTGATAGCTAGTAAGGGTCCAAATTATGTATTTGCCTTACTTCCTTGTTTGCTGTTGGTTTTTGGTTCCTCATAGGCAGTTTGTTGCTTTCCTTTCTCTTGCTTTTCTTGCGGGCTGTTTAGCTCACCGGGTTGTGGTGTAGCTCTCTTTCTTTAAGAGCTAGTTAGCTCTTCGATGTACTGAACTCTTTCGTTTATTTATGAGAATTCCTATCGTTCCGGAAAAAAAAAAAAAAAGATAATAAGGATTCCTAAACCTTAAGGAATAAGCCCATATTTAGCACCTCCTTTAGGTCCCTACGCTGCGTTAGGATTTATTATTCAATAGATTTGAATATGCACATTGTCGACGTTCCTAATAGAACCCAACAATTGGTATCAGAGCTTTTACAGCATACCTCTAACACACACGCCTTATCCCCGGGCCTATGCGTATTGCCGGTACCTGAACCGTGCGATCATCCTGTGCGCGCCATACTATGCGTGCCCGCGTCCGTTTCTTATGGCCTCGCGGTCTATCTCGCCTATTCGCACGCCATTCCCCTAGGTCATTGTAGGCTTCGTCCTCGGGCTCGAATGGGTCGATGACCACATCGTCATCATTCCTGTCCTCTTCGAGAACTTCCTTGTCCTCAAGGATAATGAACTCAAGACCTTCGGCTTCTTTCAGCTCTGCTCCCAAGTCTTCGGTTTGTAACTTGATCCGCTTCTTGGCTCGCCCACAGTCCATGGACCCTTTCTTGTAATCTGTGGTCATAGTCCACAACGAATCTAGCCATTGAACTCCAAGTACTACGTCCGATCCCGCCAATGGTAAGGCGAAGAGATCGATCTTTAAATCCTTGCCTTGTACTCGCATTGGGACTTTCTTAAACAACATAGAGCTCTTGAGTTTGTCTCCGTTTGCAACCTTTACTCCGAATGGCACCACACTAGTAATTGTTATTTCTAGCCCCTTGGTCAATTCCTCATCTATGAAGTTCAAAGTTGATTTGCTATCAACTAGCACATCGATCTCCTATTCTTGTATTACCGCTGTAAATCGTATCATCTTCGGGCCTCTCTTGC